GTGTGTGTGTGTGTGTATTCGTATGTATGTATGTATGTATATGTATATATCTATATATATAGATACATATAAATACATATAGTGTATATATTTGTAGATGATGAAAATAGATAACACGATTTAAATGTATTACCAGAATGACGAGTCATTATTCTTTGCGGACGACTTCTATGAGTATTTATTTGTATTAGCTCATACTGGGGAGTGTTCCAGCAAAAGATCGTTTCCAATGGTGACTACGCAGACGTCAGACGAATGAATAAATCTTGAGAAAATCTTTTCCTCGATAGATGCAATAGAAATAAAAATACCATTGCCATATCGTTTAACCGAAGATGTACAGTGTGCTTTAATCTGACTGTTTAATTTGTTGGATACATTCCAAGTAAAAGGAAGTTCCGATCTCACTGCTCACATAAATAAGCCAATGGTGATAATTCAGCTTTAAACGCATCATCAGAATTATCGCTCTCTTATATCTTACACAACCTTCGCCACGCCCCCCCTCCAACTACTACGTATCTAAAATAACCAAACCTAATCATCTAGGTTTCTGAATTTTGTGACCATGTCTGAGGATAGCTTGGCGAGTACCTCCTTGTTCTTCTCCTCACCATCATGAGGTTCCTGCATTCGGATCAAGTCGAGATAGTGAATTAAACACACGCAGACATTCACAGACACGGGATAGACAAGAGTCGACAGCACACATGCATTATATGCATTGATTCAATGCAAGCCTAGGCTGTACTGTGATAAAGCACAATGCGGCTTGGTTCATGCACATACCAAGAACTTCTGTGATGAAAGTCGGTTCAGAATGTCACTGCACTGATCTCTAATGATAGCCCACGTGATCTTTGTCTCGGAGTTGGCGCTGGCCTCGACGGAGTGGCGAGCCAAGTCACGGAACTGCATCAGATTCTTCAACATACCCACGCTGGTTTGTAGAGAATGGCAGTGAATGAGTTGTGTATGCACGTATGTATGTATGTAGGTAGATCGGTAGGTGTGATGTCAGAACAATCAGTTATGAGTGCGCAATAGGAACATAGTCGCGACGCCGCAACACAGTCAACTCAAAACAAAACAAATACCATCAAACGTTCGTTGATTCCCAATCGACACTCGACATGAATGGGTATAAATGAATGAATACGAGTGAAAGGGAGCATGCACAGGTACCCCTCGCAATGCACTAGCCATTAATACCGTGCAGCAGTGAAGACACCTAGCCCCATAACCCATTCTACCACCAACACCCTTTCACCCACCGAATGGATCTGTAAACTAGATATGGCCTGTACGCGACCGGCCTGATACTTACGTCTTGTAGAAGGGACAGTACTGATCGTACGAGGAGTAACCGTTCTGCTGCAAGAAATCGTCCTTGATGAGCTTGGCGATCTCCAGGGTGATCTTGTCGCCCTCGGCAAGCGAGTTCTTACCTACCAACTGCACAATCTCAGCCAGATCTTCCTCCTCCTGGAGAATCTCTTTACACTGGGTGCGCACGCGCAGGAACTCGGGGTCCATCTTCTCGTAGAAGGGTTCGAGGGCCTTTGTGTACTTGGAATAGGACAGCAGCCAATTCACGGACGGGAAATGTTTGCGCTGCAAGTATGTGTACGCGTGTGTATATGTTATTTCTCATGCACGTGGGTGTATGTGTTATTTCGTAAGTATATAATTTATATAACACCATGGTATCTCGTTGAGTAACAGATCGATCCGTCAGAAAGTGTACACAAGTTGCTCTCGTAGATGTTAAGAGGACCTGAACGAGCGGAATGGCTCTTTTGCATGCGACTGCAAGTCTACAAACACCTAACACCAATTCATACAAAAGTCAACGCATGCATTAAACAAGTATATATATATATATATTGTGTGTGTGTGTGCGCGTGTGTGTATTCCGTACTAACCTGGGCGAGCTTCTTATCCAATCCCCAGAACACCTGCACAATAGACAGGGTGGACGCGGTTACGGGATCAGAGAAATCACCTCCGGGGGGTGACACGGCTCCAACGACCGTGACAGACCCTTCACGCTTGGGGTTACCAATGCAGGTCACCTTACCAGCACGCTCGTAGAACGAGGCCAAACGTGAGGACAGGTAGGCCGGATATCCGGAATCAGCAGGCATCTCAGCCAGACGTCCGGAGATCTCACGCAGAGCCTCGGCCCAACGAGAGGTACTGTCAGCCATCATGGCGACTATTGGAGGGATAGGGATAGGCAGTCATTGGTGGAGGGGAGGAAACGAGTGGTACGTTAGGATAAGCAAGCACGGAGTGGATGAGGCGAGACGCATTGTAAGACAGGTGTGATGGGTGTGTTGTTAAAGGAGGACTGGGGTGTGCTTACATTACCAAATACTCTGAGAGATGAGGCACCAAAACCACAAGATCAGACAGTGTTTCTAGTCCAGCGACAACCAACACTCCAGCCCTCGCACAGGGCGTGTGCCTGACTCACCGTTGTAACCCATATCACGGAAGTACTCGGACAGGGTGATTCCGGTGTAAATGGAGGCCTCACGGGCGGCTACAGGCATGTTGGAGGTGTTGGCTACGAGTGTGGTACGTCTCATGATACTCTCTTCCTTGCCGTTGAAGGTCATGGTGAGCTCTGGGAAGTCCTTCAGCACCTCAGCCATTTCGTTACCACGCTCACCGCACCCGACGTAGATGATCACATCGGAGTTACTGAACTTGGACAGGGCCTGCAGCAAGTGAACGGTATCAGTCAGCAAGAGAGAGTCAGTCAGATCAATGCATAGTGTGTTGTGTTGCGTGGTGTGATGAGCATCTGCCTGTTTTCTCACACACACACTACAGCCGTCGCTTGCCGAGCATGCTATTATATACTACACCATTGAAATCGATAGCCTTGAGCTTTGCGGTTATCATAGCCTTTGAACGCTTGCATTGCCCATCACAGTAGTGCATACTGGTGCGCGCTCTCCACCTGTCCACAGCATGCGCAGCAAACACTCAATATACAGGTATAATCATATATACACCCTCCATGTACAGATAGAATCATACATGTGATCACAAATCAGCACTCACCTGAGAAATCACCGTCTTTCCGCACCCGAAAGCACCGGGGATGGCTGTGGTACCACCCTGCACACAGGGGAACAGACAGTCCAGCACACGCTGTCCGGTCAGCAGAGGGTAGTCAGCCGTCATCTTGTCGACCACGGGACGGGGTGAACGTACGGGCCATACCTATTCAGTGCGAGAGGCAGGAGGAGAGGGTAAGTGCGTGTGAGAGTGTGTGAGAGGAGACAACACTGGGTGTGACAAGCGAAGACATGTATATACAGAGCTGTTCACAATGAAGCTCTCTAGCACTGCGCTCGTGGATCGTACCAATCTATAACACCTATTGATGTCAACTTATCCACGCCTATAACACCTATTCTTATCAACCTATCCACGCCTATAACATCTATTGATATCAACATATCCACGCCTATAACACCTATTGATATCAACCTATCCACGCCTATAACACCTATTCTTGTCAACCAATCCACGCAACACCTATTGATATCAACCTATCCACGCCTATAACACCTATTGATATCAACATATACACGCCTATAACACCTATTCTTGTCAATCTATCCACGCCTATAACACCTATTGATATCAACCTATCCACGCCTACAACACCTATTCTTATCAACATATCCACGCTTACAACACCTCTTGATATCAACCTATCCACGCCTATAACACCTATTCTTGACAATCTATCCACGCCTATAACACCTATTGATACCATCCTATCCACGCCTACAACACCTATTCTTATTAACCTAACCACGCCTATAACATCTATTCATATCAA